GCATGGCTGGGGGGTGGGAAAAGCAGCCTCTCCAGCCACGCCGGATCTCAGCTCCCACGCCAGGTACATCTACAGGGCCCTCGGACACCCGTGGGGCTCTCTGGTGGGGGCACCCTATTGGGGACCTGCAGTTCTTGTGGCACACCAGGCAGACCCCAAGCCCCCGGTGCCTGGGAAACCGAGGCCCCCAAGTTCTGCCACCAGGCCGGCCAATCTGGCGCAGCAGCCTCTCCAGCCACGCCGGATCTCAGCTCCCACGCCAGGTACATCTACAGGGCCCTCGGACACCCGTGGGGCTCTCTGGTGGGGGCACCCTATTGGGGACCTGCAGTTCTTGTGGCACACCAGGCAGACCCCAAGCCCCCGGTGCCTGGGAAACCGAGGCCCCCAAGTTCTGCCACCAGGCCGGCCAATCTGGCGCACTCAGTATTTCAGAGCCCTCCCTCCGGCCCCGGGTGGCACTCAGCTTGCAGGGCACCCCTGGCAGCGCGGTGACCGGGCACAGCCTTCCAGCCAGACCGGGTCTCTCTCGGCTACGGCAGGGCATCCGCTCGGGGGCTGCCGGCCTGCAAGGACCCCTGCCCCAGCTCCTCCCTTACCTCTTGTCTGCCAGGTCGGTCTTGTTGCCCACGAGCATAATGATGACGTCACTTCCCCTCTCTGTCCTGACATCGCCAATCCACTTGGCCGTCTGCTGGAAGGAGTTGAGGTCTGGGGGCGAGGAGACAGAACAGGGCAGGTGGCTGTGAGAAAGGGCTGGCGTCTGCCACGGGTTTACGCTGGGGCCATGGAGAAGAGAGCCGGATTCTGGGTCGCTCTGGACACGGGTGGGAATCCCCGGTGGCCCTCGGCAGCCGACTGCGCGACTGAGCAGCCTAGCGGGAACTCAGGCCCACACCTGGGCTCCTGGGGCCCGTTCGGATCACTCCACCTCCAAACAGCTCAGTCGGCCTGGGAACGGTTCAGAGAAGGGCAGCTCAGGAGAGCCGGGGCAGGGACCAGCTTCCAGACACGCAGAGAGACTGGAGCAAGTCAGCTTCGAAACGGGACGCAGCCGACTGCGCGACTGAGCAGCCTAGCGGGAACTCAGGCCCACACCTGGGCTCCTGGGGCCCGTTCGGATCACTCCACCTCCAAACAGCTCAGTCGGCCTGGGAACGGTTCAGAGAAGGGCAGCTCAGGAGAGCCGGGGCAGGGACCAGCTTCCAGACACGCAGAGAGACTGGAGCAAGTCAGCTTCGAAACGGGACAAAGGCCTATGAAACGCCAAGCGGTGGGGAACGGGACTGCGGAAGTGGCCAACACAACGAGCAGCCCTGTGGCGCCTTGGAGACCAACACACACATACATATGTTATCAGGAGCTCTCGTGGGCTCAGCCCACGGCCCCAGATGACCTCGAGACGGACGTGTCCTTTACCCTTCCACGCAGTACAGACACCAGAGCTCGCCCCGTGAAACGAGCAGGCAGATTTACTGTGATCACGAGGAAGTGCTGTGTCACAGAAGAAGCAACCTGTGGAACTCACTGCCAGGGGATGCTGAGAAGGCCACAAGTCTAACGGGGCTCACAACGGCATTGAGTAAGCACGAGAAAGAGGTGCACCGATGGCTTGTGGCCCAGCGGGTCAGGGCTGGAACCCCGGCCTGACTGCCAGAAGCCAGGCGTGCACGACAGCGAGGACCACTCCACATTCCCCCTGCTCCGTGCACTGCCCCGGAAGCTCCAGTCCGGGCCTCGGGGGGAGACGGGATCCGGGGCGATACGGCATGGGGCTGCTCTTGGATTCCAGCCCCGCAGCACAGTGCCCCTGCCCGGCTCCCCACCCGCAGTGCCAGGGACTGAACGCTGCCTAGCAGGCCAGCCCTGGCACGTTTCAGGGCGCCTCGGGAACCGGGGGAGGCAGAGTCACAGAGCTTGGCTGGACCTGTATGCAGCCCAAGTTCTAGAGAACTCGAGGCCCCGCGCTGGAGCCGACTCCGGCGCCCTGCCCTGTATTTCTCCCTTCTCAAACAGTGGCCCACATCTGCACCGGGCAGCAGCCACCCCAGCACCCAGCCTGCCCCCCCATGGGACGGAAAGCACCACTCACTCGTGATGTCATAGACCACCACGGCCACGGTGGAGTCCCGAATGTAGCTGGGGATCAGGCTGCGGAACCTCTCCTGGCCCGCCGTGTCCCAGAGCTGCAGTCGAGGGGGAAGAGTGAGGAAGGGGATTTGGGTGCTGAAGGCAGAACAGGAGAGGGGTTGGGGTGGAGCCCGGGGGAGATTAGTGCCAGTAAGACGCCAGCTGCCAGCTTCCCCCGGCTGCACTGGGGGCTGCTGGCGGGAGCTGCCCTTGATGCCCCCATACGAGGGCTGTGACGAGCACTTGTGTGGGGCGGGGTGAGAGCCCCAGCCATTGGGTGGAGGGAGCAGAAGGGCAGTGGCGATGGAGGGAGGGATGGGTGTGTGGGGCGGGGCGGGGGCCCTGGCCGTGGGGGGGAGGGGGCAGAAGGGCAGTGGTGATGGAGGGAGGGATGGGTGTGTGGGGCGGGGCGGGGGCCCTGGCCGTGGGGGGGAGGGGGCAGAAGGGCAGTGGTGATGGAGGGAGGGATGGGTGTGTGGGGCGGGGCGGGGGCCCTGGCCGTGGGGGGGAGGGGGCAGAAGGGCAGTGGTGATGGAGGGAGGGATGGGTGTGTGGGGCGGGGCGGGGGCCCTGGCCGTGGGGGGGAGGGGGCAGAAGGGCAGTGGTGATGGAGGGAGGGATGGGTGTGTGGGGCGGGGCGGGGGCCCTGGCCGTGGGGGGGAGGGGGCAGAAGGGCAGTGGTGATGGAGGGAGGGATGGGTGTGTGGGGCGGGGCGGGGGCCCTGGCCGTGGGGGGGAGGGGGCAGAAGGGCAGTGGTGATGGAGGGAGGGATGGGTGTGTGGGGCGGGGCGGGGGCCCTGGCCGTGGGGGGGAGGGGGCAGAAGGGCAGTGGTGATGGAGGGAGGGATGGGTGTGTGGGGCGGGGCGGGGGCCCTGGCCGTGGGGGGGAGGGGGCAGAAGGGCAGTGGTGATGGAGGGAGGGATGGGTGTGTGGGGCGGGGCGGGGGCCCTGGCCGTGGGGGGGAGGGGGCAGAAGGGCAGTGGTGATGGAGGGAGGGATGGGTGTGTGGGGCGGGGCGGGGGCCCTGGCCGTGGGGGGGAGGGGGCAGAAGGGCAGTGGTGATGGAGGGAGGGATGGGTGTGTGGGGCGGGGCGGGGGCCCTGGCCGTGGGGGGGAGGGGGCAGAAGGGCAGTGGTGATGGAGGGAGGGATGGGTGTGTGGGGCGGGGCGGGGGCCCTGGCCGTGGGGGGGAGGGGGCAGAAGGGCAGTGGTGATGGAGGGAGGGATGGGTGTGTGGGGCGGGGCGGGGGCCCTGGCCGTGGGGGGGAGGGGGCAGAAGGGCAGTGGTGATGGAGGGAGGGATGGGTGTGTGGGGCGGGGCGGGGGCCCTGGCCGTGGGGGGGAGGGGGCAGAAGGGCAGTGGTGATGGAGGGAGGGATGGGTGTGTGGGGCGGGGCGGGGGCCCTGGCCGTGGGGGGGAGGGGGCAGAAGGGCAGTGGTGATGGAGGGAGGGATGGGTGTGTGGGGCGGGGCGGGGGCCCTGGCCGTGGGGGGGAGGGGGCAGAAGGGCAGTGGTGATGGAGGGAGGGATGGGTGTGTGGGGCGGGGCGGGGGCCCTGGCCGTGGGGTGGAGGGCGCAGAAGGGCAGTGGCAATGGAGGCCTCTAGGCTCCATGCGCAGGGCTGGAACCAGCTGGGTCAGTGTGTCGAGCAGCCGGAGCCCCTGGGTGCAGCCGCATGGCTGGGGGCTGAGGCTGACCTGTATCGCCGGGGGCTTTGGCCCCTCCAGCCACCCCCCCCCACCCCCACGG